TTTGTTTTGAAATATATATATATATATACCTGCTTGCTCCTTTGAAAGTAACAATTAAGACAAATAGCGTATGACCGTAACGCAGCAACGTTAATAATCGTAGTAAATAATTGTTATTTCTTTTTACACATTTATTCATTGCATCAGCGTTTTTAACATATGGGGTTTTGACCCTGATCTCTATATATTACGAGATTGGCGATTCAACTTTTTGAGTACAGGGGATATCAGAAATGGGATGAGTTGAAAAGTTGGGAGTCCAGAATTTTAACACTATCACTCTTTTATTTCCCCTATAATTTTAACAGTTATAATTTTTACCTTTAAATCATCCGCCATTTTTTCAATGCTTATTGTTGTGTGTTATAGTAATTTTATAAGCATGTATGGATATGTTACTTTTAAAAAGTATAGTGAAGTGTTGTGTAATGTAAATAGGTGGAAAATAAAGTGCAAAGTAACACAGAAAGTAAAGTATGAAGTAAACTAAATAGCGAAGTATTGTAAAAAGAAAAGCGTACTGTAAAGTAGAGCGTAAAGTATAAAGAATAGTGGAAAACAACAAAAACAATAAAATTGTTAAATATGAAATAAAGTGTTAAGTAAAACGTGAAGTATAAAGTAAAGTATAAAGTGAAAGTGTGAAATATGGAGTAAACTGAAAAACATAAAACATAGTAAAATGTAAAGGTGTAAATTAATATTAAAATTTAAAGCAAATTAAATTATTAATTAAAATATAAATTCAAATTTAAAGTAAAATATCGAGTAAAAATTAAAGTAATGTATAAAGTAAAGAAAATTAAAATGTAAAGCGATTATATAAAGTTTTTTCAATCTAAAGTGCGAAAGATATATTGTTTTATCCAATTCAAGAATTAGCATGTTTTGCCTGCCTCCCCCCAGTAGATTAAACTTGCATGTTCCTTGTTCATTCATCTCTCGATTCTTGTCAAGAATGATAAAGGAAAAAAAGTCAAAATTTCTTGTAATAAATACGAATGAATCGCAATTTCTTTTAATGGTGTAAATATTCGAGAACTCCAGAAAAAGAATGACATAAATACCGGCTATTTTTTTAAAAATTAAAATGATTCGGTAGCATAAGTATAATAATTTAAAAGTGCAATCATGCCAATTAACTTTGTTAAAACCTTAGAGCTAAGCTTAAAGTTGGGAAGAGTTAGCGAATTGGGTTGACTTTACTAATACCATTCAGTTTGCCCTGTATCAGCAATACAGTAATCAGAACTATAAATTACCGGGAACCGAGAAAGAATTGATAGTTAAACTGTTGAAATACTTTCGTGTTTACGGGATGAATAAAATGGATGCTATTGCCACGATCTAGTTACTATTGTTACTACAAGTGTTTCGTAAGGAATTATGTGTTATAATCAAGGGGAAGAAGTATAGTACTTAATGGTAATTCATTTCTTTAAAAAATAAGGTGGAAATGAAGAGGAAAAGAGATAAAACCAGTTTTGTCTCTTTTCCGCTTAAGTAACTGCACAGAGAAATATTTTATCTTATTTTATGTTATAACCAGCATTGAACAGACTGCCCAATTCTGAGTGTACTATTATCAACAATCAACTCCGTAGCCTTATAATTTAGAGCCCAATCCAGAAGACAAGGGAGTTTCTGGATCAAGCATTCAGATAAACTCGCCTTTGTCGAGGGCATTTGATGGAACTAACCGCATCTGCTATACATGGGGGAAAAAGACAAGAAACTCTCCCATGGTTAGTCTGAAGGCCAGGGGGCCCATGATCCCTCTATCTCTGACTATCAGTACTGCAATCAATGCGAGTCGGGAGCAGAATTCGTATCAACCATCCACCGTTTTGATTCAAACCTAGTTCAATTCATTGCGAGGCGAAGGCTCTATTCCAAGCCCTGAGTAATTCAAAGAGATTAGTAGTTTTTGCAAAATCTCTTTCTTTTAAGTTGGCATAGGTTTGCAAGCTGTTCCGCAATTCTCTGCCACTGGTGCATGTACACTTTTATGAAAAAAAAATTTTTTTCCAGTTTTTTTTCTTCAAAAAAGCCTTTAATTTAGGGGCCGCGGTGGATCAGGGAATAGAGCGATCGCCATCTAATGAGGTGAACTGGGTTCGAATCCTAGTGATAGCTAATCGATACGAATTCTGCACTCTGCTCGCACCGACAACAGTGTTGGCGTAAAATGTTGTGATAGACGGATCATGGGTTAGAGCAATACCTCCTAGAAAAGAGAAGGCCTTAGCACGGGTTACCATAAACAAGAAATTTGATCCTTTATTAGTCCAAACGTAATGACATCTTTCGTATTTTCCACCACTGCGCAGTTTATGTTCGTCACGTCGGACTACTAAATTGATCCGTGCTGAGGCATTCGTTCTTCTAGGAAGTGTTGGTTAGAGTCCCCTTGCCACCAGTCCTACAGAGGAAGGTTTTCGTTGTTTTCTCTTAACGCAACGCAAAATGCGGGTTAGTAAAAAAAAAAAAAATCCACTAAAGTCCTCTTCCATCAAAAATTCTTCCACGAAGGCAATTTCTCCCAATACTTGATCCAGGAGTTCCCTTGTCTTTTGGAATGGGTTCAAATTTACAAGACTACGAAGTTGAACAATAGTAGTCACAAAGCTACAAATTGAGTAGGCTATTCATGGACGGTTAGAAAAAAAGGAAAATAAAAACCTTTTAATTTAAGGTACTGTAGTCTATGAAAAAATATTAACATTTTTGATAATATTTAATATCTATAACTTTGCAGCTAAAATGTGAAGATGTTATTCGATCTTATTATAAAAGAGCTCAAGAAGTGCAACCTTTGATTAATGCTATAACTGATGCTAGATACGAAGGGGCACTAAAAGAAGCAATACAAATCGATCAATTTTTAGAAAAAGTGGCGAAAACTCCAGAAGAAATAAAAAAAGATACGCCTCTTCTGGGAGTTCCTTTTTCTTGCAAGGAAGTATTGGGGATAGAAGGTAAGTTAAGTGATTGTGCAATTGAGGAAGAAAAATAAGTTCTTTTGAAAGTTGTCACAGGTTTTATTTTAATTAATATGTCTTAGTATCGAACGCTGATAGAAACTCAAACTCCGCGTAAATACATGTTCATTAATTTATACTAACATTACTTCAATGTTACTTTCAACAATACTATTTCCAATAATTTTGCGCAGATGTACGAAGAAAATTTTTGTTTTGAAATTAACGACTTCTCTTAATAATTGGGTGACTACAATCAGAGCTGGACTACAACACCGCTTGTCCGTAAATGACTTTAAATTCCATGCAAATCGTGGCAGTCTGATAACTTGTTAGTTTTCTTTTGATTTTACCGAAATGAAGTGTACAAAGATATAAAACAATTCCAAGGCGAGCTGACCATTTAAACTATACAATCTAAGTTCTTTAAAAAAAATCAAAATAATATTTTTAAAAACCACGTTTTTGTAGTGGAGAATAATAATTAAAAAACGAAAATTTGAAAAACGAAAAACGTGGGGCGCATGAAATACATAACAGTAACAGTATGTGTGCTCATGAGAATATGTGTATGTATATCTGTAATTGTATCTGAATGTGGATGTGTATGTGGAATATGTTTGTGTCTATGCATGTGGATGTGGTTGTGCATGTGTATGAGTAAGAAAATGTGTATATGTACTGTTATATATTTCGTGCGCCCCATGTTTTTCGTTTTTCAAATTTTTGTTTTTTAATTATTATTCTCCACTGCAAAAACGTGGTTTTTAAAAACATTATTTATATTTTTTTTTGTACTCACTCCCAAAATCTCAATTTTTTCACTCACTGTACACAAAACTTAACTTTTCAATTGACATGTGACACTAATTTGAAATAATCGAATCGACAACAAAAGAAAATCACGGAAATATTTATTTTTCTTTAATTTAAATTTTATTTTACTTTCTATGTCTTTTTTCTCTTCATTTTCATGCATTGTCATCCAATTCTGAACTATATGCCAAATTTGAAGTCTGTAGCTAGTCGGGAAGTTAGTTTAAAATCGATTACAAAATTCCACCCGAACAGACATACACGAAGTTGATAAAAACGTGGTAAAAATTAGATTACATATTCGTAGAATTGCGATAGGTGGTAAAAAAGAAAGTTCATTCCCGGGAATGGAATATTCTGGGTTTTTCTTGAAGGAGATTTTATAAATTGTAGGTTTTTATTTCAATGCTAGGTTTTTATTTCAGTGTATTCACATTTTTCAGTGGAAATAACAGTAGTTTTACGGAATATAAGTTAATTACCTTTTTGAAGGTTTTTTTCTGTTTTTCCTTGATCTTTGATGGTATAATATGAAAAATAACATTCTTCATTGACATTTCTTTAATATCTTATGTTTGCATTGAAAATTGCGATAAACTTTCAACCCATTAGAATTCGGAAGAAATCACGTGTTAATGTTAATAATTGAAAATAATCCTTTCAGTACGTCAACAGCGTTGTTGCATTTAATGTAGAGAGACATATCTGAACAGCTCTTTTTTAATATGGTATGAAAATTTTTAATCTTAATGGAAAGGAAATTTGTATAAAACATGATTTCTGTGTTCTTTACTGGGATAGGGTAACTTCGGGACACCTAATTTTTCGTCTCAAGACAGAATAAAATATTCCAGAGCACAATAAATCTTCTTGATACCGAATTAGATGTAACTTTTCAAAATATCTCTAAAACTTTTAAATATGTAATATTTTAAAATTTCTTCACGAGTAAATAGAAAAAAATTGATTGCATTAAAGTGACGACAAAAGGTGTTTTAAACATAAATAAATTTTTTTTGAAGCCAAACTTGATTCTATGTCTTCTAGAAGATTCTGATCACTGACTTGTAGTCGGATTCATTGAAGCAAGGCAGTTTATCACATATTTTGTCCTCTCCTTCGGCGTCCATCATTCCGCCATTTTATGACTATGGAAACATTCAAAACAAGCCAAACAGTTGTCCGAAGCCCTGAGGCCAGTTAACCAAGAATTACGACCCCTTGAAGATCGACATATTGCTGTTGTAGCTAAGCGGGTTTGAAGAGTGACTTTGTGGTTATAGCGGCCATAGGCAAGACAGTATATATTACTACTGTTCAGTAAAGACTACACACATGGAAAGGACAAAACGCTCGGGGGCCATGACAGTAAATTTATCTATCCGTCCAATCCGGAAGGACTTGATTAAAATGGTGATACAAGCAAGCGAATCGGATTGTGTCTGATTGGGGCAATGTTATATTCTCGGATGAGTTTAGATTTTGTTTTCAGCTCAATAACAAGAGTGTAAGGCTCAGGAAAGAACAAGGCAAGCGCAATAGACGGCAGAACGTCACGCATTTTGCTGTGGAAGCATCATGGTCGGGGCAGAAATTTTATTGGGATATGCAACCACCTGCTCATCTATAGACGGCGTTACGTGACGGATTTACGGTATCTTTAAGAAGTTCTTTTTAAAAAGACTCCATTATACACTGCATTCATTTGGTACTACTTTCTTTTTCATGGACGGTAACGCACACCTTCATATAGAGCTGCAATCGTCGACGTCTGTATGAATAAGGAGGGTATTGGCGTTTAGAGTAGCCGGTCTACTCACCAGATTTTAATCCAATAAAAATCTTTCGGATACCCTCGACTAAGCTGAGTGTACTCTTTTCATTACCTCCAGCAACTTTCACATATTTATAAGCTGATAGAAAATGAATTTGGTGATCACTGGACTCTGACGTAACTAGCCACCTCGCAACAAGCACGATCACATTCTGTGTAAAAATGAAGGGTACTTATATACGATATTGATGTCGAGTTTTTTTTTTTTTAATTTTAAAAAATAATATTTGTAAAAGACTCTAATATGGCACCATATAATTTATGCAAATTCAATATTGTTTTCATCCTTGAATGTTATTCTTTGTTCTATTTCACGAATAAACATATCATCTACTTTTCTGCAGCATTACTTGTCATTAAAGCAGTATTTGTCTGCTTTTTTTGCATTTTACTGCTCCGAGTTTACCCTTTGGAAATGAGTGTATGGCTAAAATTGGAAACGATTTTATATTCCTTAAATTTTATATTTTTATAAATCTCGATATAAATATGAATGCTTATATCTGGCAATATCTAATCTCTCACATTTTTTTAGTTAATATTTATTTCCTTTTGTTACTTTTCCCATCAAGTCAAACGTTAGCTTATAACATGAAGATCTCGTGAGAGGAACAAGTATTTGTTTCAGTGGATGGATTGTCCTTAATTGAAGCAAAAAAAAGAGAAGAAATAACTGTAATAACTTTCGAATAAAATAGATTTAAGGGCAACAAACTTGCGTTAACTTCATAAACAAAAATAGCATTTTCAGCCTTGTCAAATTTAAATTTGCTAGTTGCCCTTCAGTGAGTTGCAACTCGTCCACCGCGCTATTTTCCTACAAGTTTAGCGGTTTACAACTCTCGAACTAATTAATGAATGTTAAATTTTTTTGTCTCATCGAGCTCTCTGAACACTTGTATCGTACACTCAACACACCTTCGTAATTTCTAGTTTCAGAGTTTTATAGTTTTTGCGTAGTTAGTATAAATAAGTACCGCATAAAAAAAAGTTTATAAAAAAATTTGAGGCGTTTATTTCGTGACGGAATCACATTACTGTGGGTATATTAAATATTAGAATTACATTAAATTTTTATGAAGCAAATTTCAAGAAGAAATAACTGAATTGAAATTCAAGGGAGCACTAAATCATAATTAAATGGGGAAAAAAATGATGAAATGCCCTGACATAGATAACAGCTTCATCCGGGGAGATCTTACCTTGTTGTCAATGTTTAAGCTGTTTCTGCATCAGACTGCTGGCAAAATACCAAAACGAGACCTAAGCTCCCAATTGTTTCAGGGATAAGAAACAAAGGTTTGAACTAACTACAGAGCAGACGTAAAATATCCTCAGTGGTAAACGGATCATGGGTTGGAGTCCCCTTGCCGTTAGACTAACCGTGGAAGGTTTTCCTCTCCATGAAACGAAATGCGGGCTTAATTCCATTAAAAAAGTCCTCCATGGAGGAAAATTTCTCCCAATTCCTTATCCTGGAGTTTCTTTGTCTTCTGGGTTGGGTTCAAAATTACAAGGCTACGGAGTTGAGCGTTGGTAGTCGTAAGCCCTAAATTGAATCTGCTGCTCAACAAAAGTTCTAAAATAAAATATAAAAAACTAAATATTTTACAAACTAAACCTCTGAAGTGACATAAAATATGACTTTTTCTTGCATTTCAAAATCACTAAAAAAGTAGGTTTTTCGTGTTTCGAGGTAGAATCTAAAAATATTACTCAAAATATCCCACGAAATTTACCATCTTTGATAGGTTTCTGCTATGAAAAGTCTTGAAATATCGTCTTTTAAATAAGTTCAAGTTAAAAAATATTGCTTGTAAATAATGTTTTGATTTATGATAGTTAATGGTCATGCAATGATAAGGAGACAAAAAAAAATTAAAACTAACTGTTTATTTATCAAGGTTTACGACAAACTTGTGGGATTTATGAAGAAAGAAATAACATTGCTGATAGTGATGGTGATGCCCCTGCCCTTTATAGAGCTGCTGGAGCAATTCCCGTAACCGTTACGAATGTTCCGGAATTGTGCTATTGGATCCATCCAGTAAATAAAATATATGGGCAGACCAAAAATCCATATGATACCACTAGGATACCTGGTGGTAGTTCAGGTAAGCATGTAAATTTTAAATCAACTAGAACGAACGGCAAATTTAAAATTATAAAGCAGGAACTATTCCACATGACAGAGCTTTGGGAGCCCGCTTAGAATCTTTTCAACTCTTGAGAAGTTTATCATTTGTGGTTAAACGTCAATTGTTTTAAATATTTGTTTCACAAAATAAAACTGCATTGAAAAAGTTAAAATATACACTGAAGAGCCATTACATTATGACCCCGCTCCATCTGTAACAATGGGCTCGCCAAGATTTTCATGGTTTCTCGCCCAGGAACAATGTTTTCAAGGGGCACATTAGGACCCATAATCCTCATAGAACAATCCCTGACGTCTGCAAGCTACTTGAACATAGTTCACTCATTCATGACAACAGTTTTTCCTGCGGGGGATGGTGTTTACCAACAGGATAATGCACCAAGTCATACGGGTCGAATCTTGTCGGGTTGAATGTCTTGGCCCCAAAATTCGCCTGTCCTTAATCCAATAGAGCATTTGTGGTCCTACTTGGAAAACCAAATTCGTGCACGCTACCCCCTCGCAATGTGAGGGAATTGCAGGACCAGTTGGTGAGCGCTAGGTATCAGATACCTCAGACTACCTATCAGCACCTTGTGGAATCAATGCCATGGCGGGTGCTAGCAGTTTTGATGGCTAAAGGTGGTGCTACATGTTATTAGCAGGGAGGTCATAATATACGGATTCTTCGGTGTAGTTTTTGAAAAGACTATCGTTCACACCCTCTTAGCAGATATTTAAAATGTGTTCCCCTCAAATTGCATTGCTGCGTTTTATCATTCTTCGTATCTTAGATGAACAGAATAAAAAAATATTTAAGACAGCAATAAAATGTCTGGTAATGAATCTTCAATATGGGAGCCTATTTCTGAGTTTTTATGATTTTGAGTCTTTATGAGGTGTTTACCATTTTTAGTAGACACACCACTGATCAACTATGTTATATTATGCTATTATGTTTTACAGGTGGTGAAGCAGCGCTCATTGCCTCTGCCGGGGCAGTTATTGGTATCGGAACTGATATGGCAGGGAGCATTCGCATTCCATCATCTTTATGCGGAATATATGGACATAAGCCATCTTCTGGTGAGGCAGTTATTCTGTATCATGTTGCCATATCTCTTTCAAATTTCACGCTAGAGAAAGTGATGCACTTCCAGAATCTTACGTAAATCGGTACTCTCAGTATACAAGATGACTCAGAGGAGTGGTTACAAAGGCACATTATAAAGATGGATAATTAATTCAGATTGATGAAAAGAGTGAGCAACCTATGCCTATAAATATCATAATGCGCGTCAAGGGGCTCTTCTTGATTTTTTTACTCGTGTGCCTTTGAATTTTTGTTTTTATTTGTCGAAATTATGTAACGCAAATTATTGTACTTAAATGGATTTAGATTTCACTGTTTACATGTTATTGTTGTACATGCCATACGACACGAAAATGAAATAACGATGAAAAAAGACCTGCGTTAAGTAAATTCAGGACATATATAACAAATCCTTAATTTGTTACTTTATATTTTTGGCAAAATTTTTACATGGTTTCATGACATAAAAAATTAATGAGAAATATGAGTATTTTTTCAATTTGCACAATGCAGTTTTATCAGGTGAAATTTTGGATTGTAATAAATTAATATCTTGCTCAGCATGTAGATTATATTAGGTAATATTGCTTCCAGCAGAAAGTGGCTACGAAGAATGCGGAGTTATATGATTTAATTTGAATAAGATGTTAAATTTTTCTTCTAGTTTTAACAAAGTTTTGAGATTAATTACTAGGCTTAAAACTTTGATTTTATTGCTATATATAGTTAAATCAAGCAAGCCTCCATTGCGCTAACGTGAGACTTACGCAGATAAGTTAATGTGACTTCGGATTAATAAATAAAATAAACAGTGGTAGCAAATTGTTTTGGTTATTCATCTTTACGTGCTAGGAAGCAAATCTAACCCCTGATTAATCATATAAATAAAAAATTGTTGCAAGGTTTTCTTTTCTTAAAGAAAAATTAGAAAACTAATTTACTGCTTTCTTTCTGGCTGTTAGAATTCTAAAAGGAATTCTAAGAAGGAAAGCTAAAAAGCCTTAAAATTAACATACCACAATATATATATATATAT